ACAAGTGCAATATAAAGAAAAATCGTGCAAGCAGAGCATACGACATAGCAAGAAAAATACTTTAGCCAACTGAGAAAGTATATAAAACAAAAAAATATATAATAAATAACAAAAAAAAAGCAAATCTGCTGCAACCAACTACACCGATACATTTAACGCGCATTCAAAACAGAAACAAAAATAACAAAACAAAAAATAATAAATTATTTAGAGGATAAAACACTAGGCAAAAAACAAAAGAAACTGTAAGTGTAAAAAAAAAATAAATAAATAAAGGGTGCAAAAAAAGCGATGAAGGTTATCTATCAAGCATCTTTTTGGGCAACCTAATATATGTAGGATTAAAAAAAAATTAAAATTATTTTAATGATTCCATTTGCCCTGACGTTATTATGTATAACTTATTATTTAAATTTAAAATATAGTTACTACATTTGTTTGCTCGACATTTGCGTTGCCCAAAATATGTAATTCGATTATTGCGACTTATGTATGTATTTAGAACATACATACTTACACTTAACAAGCAAACAATGTACCATAAGGTGTGGTGAAGTATGAAAAACCAACAACTTCATACATACATACATACATACATAATTATAATTATAAAGTTAATGTTAAATTAAAATAGCCAAAAGTCAACAGTTGGTATGTAAAAATAAAAGCAAACAATAAAACATAAATGAGCCAATATGCAGAAAAGTTTAAGAAAAACAAAGTAATAAATTAAAAATTACAACATGAGTATGAAAATAACTACAAAAAAAAATTACAAATAAAATGTATAACAATAAATGTGCCTTGCGTTTTAATCGGGTGGGGTAGAGGTGGCATAGCACACGTCTTAATAAAAACGGAACTACAGTAAAAATATAACTTCTCACTAAATTCTCTAATGCTGCATAAGACATGTATTAGTTGTCAGATTGTGAAGTATGCGTCCAGACAATTATAAACACAATTCACTTTTCAGCAACCGCCGTTGTAAGCCACAAGTAAAGGCAACGATAAATTCGAATATCCGGATATTAACCGGTTATCTTAGATAAAAAAAAAGAGTTCCGTTTGCATTTGTGCAGAATTGTTGAGCTTTGAGTGAACATTTTTTGGTTAAAAAACTTTTCAAACTATTATATCCCGATTTCAAAATAATTTTGTAGAACATTTTAGCTCAATACCTGGGGTGCGTTCAGGATCGGCGGAAAATTGAAAAATTCTACAACTCTCTTTTTTTGGTGCTCTACACTAAAGATCGAAATAAACTACACAATCGGCTTGACAAACCAANCCTCTCTTTTTTTGGTGTTGTAAGTTTTCAACGCTCAGACCGACATATAAAACTTCTTAAAACAGATTCCAAGGCGTATTTAATATTATAACCTTGTTTAATCCGCCTAGAGAGAGAGCGTGCAAAGTATCGAACATTTCAAAAGCGTGATGTGGAGTTATAACTTCAAAGCTAGAGCTCTACACTAAAGATCGAAATAAACTACACAATCGGCTTGACAAACCAAGCAAAATTCGTTTTAGCTGTTATTCAAGCAATACTTCATACCAAAAATTTCAGCCGTTATGTATGTAGAAAATTTGCAAAAATTAACGGTAAGCCCTACGTACTTCAAAGTTCCATTTTATACTAAAATTTAACGGACTACAAAAGTGCATACTCAAATTTTTTGTAATAAATATAGTAAAAAACTCTACATTTTGATGCAACTTATTCGAAATTTCCAAATTTTTTTAAAACGTTTGAAATATTGACTTGCACGGTTTTTTGGGGAAAATTTTCCAAAACGGATCCAGGCTTTGAAAAAAAAAATATTAGGGACTATAGAGGAGCTTTTTCCGATTCTAAATCTGAAGACCCTGAGGCTTATAGTTGTTAAGTAATTCGCATTTAAATTTGCAAAAACTACCGAATTCAACCTCACTTTTCCCAATTGAACTGAAATGTCGATGCTGCCATACATACCAAAAAATGCCAATAAAAAACAAAACGGAAGCAATAAAAAAATGCACATAATGTTTTATTAAAAATTTTAATTATTTATAGCGCGGTTTATCGAAGTATCGATGTTATAACAGTATGTTTGCGTAGAATTCCTTTCTGCGTAGGCGGCCTTCGGCCGCGTTTTAGGATTATAACCCTTTCCAAATAGAATTCTCCTTTTGTTGTGCACCAACTGGGGCTACAACAAATTGCTTAAATACTATTAGCAACTACTTTGTGAGAGNTTAATTCGCATTTAAAGTTGCAAAAACTACCGAATTCAACTTCACTTTTTCCTTTATGCACCAATTGAACTGAAATGTCGATGCTGCCATACATACCAAAAAATGCCAATAAAAAACAAAACGGAAGCAATAAAAAAATGCACATAATGTTTTATTAAAAATTTTAATTATTTATAGCGCGGTTTATCGAAGTATCGATGTTATAACAGTATGTTTGCGTAGAATTCCTTTCTGCGTAGGCGGCCTTCGGCCGCGTTTTAGGATTATAACCCTTTCCAAATAGAATTCTCCTTTTGTTGTGCACCAACTGGGGCTACAACAAATTGCTTAAATACTATTAGCAACTACTTTGTGAGAGTCATATATATTCATGTAGAGTAAGCCTCCTCCAACATCTTCACAAGTTTCATGACGAAATTCCTTATACTTTCGCTGAAATCTCGATTGGTTTCGTTTTGGAAAGCCAACCCTTTTTTGAGATAACGAACTACATATACTTACATAAAAAAATAATAAACATAAAATAAACAAAACAATATTAGCTAAAACTAAATGTCCCGTCTGTATTTATGTTTTTGCCAATGCATTTATACTATTTTACATTTTGGCTGACAAAATCGAAGACCTTGATCCAAGGATGCATTGTAAGGTTAATTTTAGCGTTTACCAAAAAAATCAATCGTTTCTGTTGACGACTCTTACGACACCGTTGTGAATACCCCAAATAATTTTCGTTTTTTTAATTCCTTGAGTTCTGCTCACTTCAATAGTACGGCAGCACGCAAATACGATCCAAACAGCTGGTTTCGTTTCAGCTGTCAAAACACCAATTGATGATTATCAGTCCAATTGGATGAATTAATTTTTTGCGGATAACGATTGGGATTCGAAAAGTTATTATTTTTACATCAGAATTACTAAACGTGTTTATACAAGCCGTACAGGACAAACAAAATAAAAATGAAGAAAAAGGTTTTACTAATGGGCAAAAGTGGCTCGGGCAAAACCAGCATGCGTTCGATAATATTTGCCAACTACATAGCGCGAGATACGACGCGGCTGGGTGCAACCAGTAAGTAATGCAGACAGCTGTAAACGAATTTACTAATTTTTAAATTTAAATTAGTCCTTTGTACTATGCAAATGCTAAATCTTACAAATTTTTGTGTTGGCAGTTGACGTAGAGCACTCACATGTACGCTTTTTGGGGAACCTGGTACTCAACTTGTGGGATTGTGGGGGCCAGGAGGGCTTTATGCAGCAATATTTTGCTTCACAGCGAGACAACATCTTTCGTAATGTGGAAGTACTTATTTATGTATTTGATGTGGAGAGTCGCGACATGGAGCGTGATGTTCACTACTATCAATCGTGCTTGGAAGCATTGCTACAAGTATGTACATACATATGTACAAGCTCATTGCCCAATCGATTAATTACCATTCTATTTACAGAACTCGCCAGAAGCAAAAATATTTTGTTTAATACACAAGATGGATTTAGTGGCTGAAGAACAGCGGGAAACTTTGTTCAAGGAGCGTGAGCATGACCTGATACGTCTTTCAAAACCGGGCAACGTTACTTGCTTCCGCACCAGCATTTGGGATGAAACATTATACAGGTAGGATTATTTCTGTATACTTACATAAAGTACTCATATGCACAGTGCACGCTATATGTGCTGCATTTAACTACAGAGCTTGGTCCAGCATTGTCACCATGCTTATCCCCAACGTTGCGGTGCTCGAGAACTCGCTCACCCACTTCGCCAATGTTATTGAAGCCGATGAAGTGTTGCTCTTCGAAAAGGCTACTTTCCTAGTGATTTCACATTGCCAGAGTAAAAAGAATCGCGACTCGCATCGTTTTGAAAAAGTCTCCAACATAATAAAACAATTTAAACTAAGTTGCTCAAAATTGGGCGCCAAATTTCAATCAATGGAAGTGCGTAACAGCGCTTTTGCTGCTTTCATAGATACCTTTACAAGTAACACATACGTGATGGTTGTTATGTCCGATCCAACAATACCTTCTGAGGCGACATTGGTTAACATACGTAATGCGCGCAAATCATTTGAAGAATTGGAAAATCCAAATAGCAACGCGATGAATCATCATCAGTATCACTGACATAGGGTGTAAGATGCAATGCACTGTAAATGAGAGGGAAAGGAAGGAGATAGGGTGGCAGCCAGTGTGCAAATAAACATACATATCGTCGTTTAAAGTACAAAACCGCGTATGTGAGGTTGCATAAATTATTTTTTGGAAAGTAAAAACAGTCATATTTCAAAATGGTTCTCTTTTTTATAAAGCAGTCTCATTTCTGGCTAGTATATTTCAGGACGAATGGATAAGGATTGCGTCAAGAGCAATGCGTGAGCAATTCCAATTTTTGGCAGCAAATGTCAGTTACGCGATTTTGCAGAATGACGTTACGCAGTTTTGTACTTTAAACGACGAAATTATTTGTCAGGGCCGTTCAGTTTAGACTTTATATTGAAACAAAATGTTGTACATAATGGAGCACACAAAAATTGTGGAAGCAGGCAAATTGATGCTTTGAATTGTTTATAAAAATTGGCTGCAGTATGTCAAGGATACCTAAATTAGCAAAGAAATTAGTCTTTCCGAAAAATTAAAGCTTCAAAGCAAGCTCCAGCTCATTTCTTTCCCCTTGTTGGTGGCGCATACTTATCAACAAGTACTATATCATCGAACGTTTATATGTAAGTGCTTGAAATTTATTAATTGTTGCTAACTGAAAGTTGAAAGAATTTGCGCTCTTTATTATAAATTTAATGTTTACAGTACAGAAATGTCTTCATACATACATATATGCCACATATTTTTATAGTTACAATAATGATGTGTAAAGCTACTGCATTATGCTATCTATACGTTAATGTAAGCGGTTAATAAATACTTTTTACATCTACATAAGCGTTTCTTTGATTACTAAGTTTAAGTGTTTCTTACTAACTTTCCATATAAAATTTCTGTACATCGGTCATTTTTAATGCCCTTATCCCTCTATATATATATATATATATATGTACATATGTACACTAATATGTGCAAATTCTACTCACTCATTCACATATTAAGTAGTGTACATAAGAAATTAAACAAATTCAAATTCAAAAATATTGGCCTGTAATGTACAGGTATTCAGTTTGCATTCAGGTGCAAAATATTCAAATTCCTATCACAGTCAGCATGCAATTATTAAGGAGCCTATACCAGTCTCATGCATGCGTACATTTAGTTGAGGTTGTCATGAGTAGTAACGACGCACTTCCTCTGTCAGCTTGCCCACTGTGCTTTCATCGATTTGAACAAAACGTTTTGCACCACGACTAAAGTAATAGATGTCACCAGTGTAAATATCAAACCATAACGCGTGTACATGAAGATCATGTGACTCAAGTCGTGGTTTTAAGAAGCCATACGAAGCCACATTGGACAACTGTTGCAGGGTGTGTATCTGTGACAATTTGTCTTCTACGGCAAACTTATCTTCTGGATCGATATAAGCGACAAAACGACGTAATGGTGTTTCAGAGGAGAATACCAAAGGTCCTTTCATTCCGTTTTCTTTCCAGGTCTTGAAATGTTCGAGACTTCTGCTGGCGTGTGTCCACATCCAGGAGCGAAGTGGCGATAGACGTCGATTAAGCTACATAAAAAAGTTAAAAAAAAATACGTTAACCGAACAAAAAGGAAACTTACTTGTGACGCATAATCCTCACATTGCAACTTATATAGTAAGTTCATCGCTTTACAATCACTATGGCCGCACACGATTATATGTCGTATATCGTTGACGACGCAGCCCAATTCCAGTGCCGCGGGCTCGCAACTGAAATATTCATCCTGGAAATGATGAGCATGTGGTATCACATTTCCGGCGTTACGCACTGCAAATTTGGAAAGATAAGAAGGTTAAAAATAAACAAACAAAAGATTAACGATATGCATACGTATGTGCATTTTGTATTTAATCTTTTAAAACTACATACCTACAAACATATCGCCGACGTGCGTGTCCGTGTAACGCGTCGGTATCATCCGACTGTCCATGCAAGTAAAGAAAACAGCTTTAGGCTATGACCAATACGACATGAAAATAAAGGCAAATGAAATAAGAGTTAAGTATGTAAATGCAACACATTAATTTATATTTTATGTACTTGTTTGTATGAATTTAGGTACATACATGAAAATTTGTGCTAAATTCCACATATCGCTAAATTGCTGGAAGAACGTCCCAATCCAAAATAAATTTGAGCTAAGTATGCAGAAATGGCCACCCACGCTTCTTTTATGCTATATACACACATATGGATATGTATTTTCCATATTTTCTTAATAATTATTTATTTTAGCTCAGGTCTTGTGACGCTCTTCCATCAAATAAGGTTTTTATTTTAGTTAACTGAAGCCCTACTGGCACTATCGTCTCTGGCGGTGATGACTTGCGTACACACTTACATTTCGTCGTTTAAAGTACAAAACCGCGTATCAACAAAATGCAAAACCGCGTATGTGATGTTGAATAAATTTTTTTCTAGAGAGTAAAAACACTCATATTTCAAAATGGTTCTCTTTTTTATAAAGCAATCGCATTTCTGGCTAGTATATTTCAGGACCAATGGACAAGGATTGAGCCAAAAGCTTGTGTGAGCAATTCCAATTTTTGGCTGCAAATGTCAGTTACGCGGTTTCGCAGAATGACGATACGCGGTTTTGTACTTTAAACGACGATATGTATGTACATGCATACATACACATATATGTATGTACCGTTAATAAAGTATAAAGTATAAGCTCTTGAAATATTCAGTATGTACCGACTGGGGTGATTACAGCCTTTAAGCTTACTAGTTTCTTAACTTGAGAAGAAAAATTGCAAATGGCGCTCCCTCGACTGTCAACATCAACAATAACTATAAGACCACTCTTCTCAGGCATTTGAAAATGTGTGAGGATAAAGGATATGTATTTATATGCTCCTATGTAGGGTAATGGCCAGTGGCTTGGCATTCTGGCAAAAGAACTGACGACTGTTGACAACCGTCGTTGCTTGGCCTGATCTGCTCTTTTGCCAGACACTATAGTTTTCCTGAGAACAAAGTAGAATGTGGCATATAAAAATAAAATAAAATAAAATTAAATAACACACCCCAAACACCATAAAAAAAAAAATTTCTGAGTGCTCAGAATTTATTAGTCTTTCTTTAAATATGTTTCTGAGATCAGTCAGCCAGACTGACTCCTGCATTGTTTTGTTATTTTTGATGGGCTTCTTTGGCCAAACAAAATANTCTTACTAGTTTCTTAACGTCAGAAGAAAAATTTCAAATGGCGCTCCTTCGACTGTTAACATCAACAATAACTATAAGACCACTCTTCTCAGGCATTTGAAAATGTGTGAGGATAATGGATATGTATTTATATGCTCCTATGTAGGGTAATGGCCAGTGGCTTGGCATTCTGGCAAAAGAACTGACGACTGTTGACAACCGTCGGTGCTTGACCACTATAGTTTTCCTGAGAACAAAGTAGAATGTGGCATATAAAAATAAAATTAAATAACACACCCAAGGCGAATTCATATAAGGTGGTATCGATTCAACAAATACAACAATTACCTGTATTTTGTTTTTGCTTTTAGCTGGTGATTTTCAAATTTCAGCTATTCTTCTCCGAATGAAAAAGGGCGACAGAAAATGCAAACACTCTCACGTTTTCACTCACTCACTAGCAAAATATAAAATTTTGACAATCAAACGCTACACACAGCTGATTAAACAACACCACCTTATATAAATTCGCCTTGAACACACCCCAAAACACCTTAAAAAAAATTTCTGAGTGCTCAGAATTTATTAGTCTTTCTTTAAATATGTTTCTGAGATCAGTCAGCCAGACTGACTCCTGCATTGTTTTGTTATTTTTGATGGGCTTCTTTGGCCAAACAAAATATGCGACGAAAATTGGTCAGAAGATAAGATTCTGTATCAGACTGACTCTTTTTGAACTCGTCTGGTGTCATAAATTCTGACTTGAACAAAAGTAATAAAGTTAACGCAGAAGTAAGTTTATTAATAATCAGAATGATAAAGAATATTTGTTTTTAGGACTGAGAAAAGCATCATATTTCTGACTCTAATATGACTTCTAACTGGGACTCGTATAGGCGTGCCCTTCTAAGAAAGGAAATATGCTCTTTTCTGACCCTTTTTTTTTGAGCTCATAATGAGGGTTTCAACTCAGAATTCTGAGACTTTTCTAACTCTAAATTAGTCCGAATGTTTACAGGAATACTATCATTTTTATAAAAA